AAGACTGTACAGACAAAAGAAAATTAACAAATAAGGTTCTCAAGGACTATGGATATAAGATCAATATATATACATAAAAAATCAACTATATTTCTCTATATGAGCAACAATTAGAAATGTAATATTTTAAAAGTGTACCATTTGTATTGGGAAAACTGGACACCCACATGCAAAAAAAAAAAATGGAGTTGGACTCTTACCTCACACCATATACAGAAGTTAACTCAAACTAGAACAAAGACCTCAATGTAAGACTTAACACTATAAAACTCTTCAAAGAGGGGTACCTGCATGGCTCATTGGGTTGACTGACCATTCAACTCTTGATTTTGGCTCAGGTCTCAGCGTCATGAGATCAAGCCTCATATCTGGGCTCTGCACTTAGCATGGAGCCTGCTTGAGATTCTCTCCCTCCCTCTCCTACTGCCCCTCCCCCACCCCCACTTACATGCTCTCTGTCTCTCTAAAAAAATGATAATTGTTTTAAGAGCCAAGACATCTTTCAACAGACGAATGGATAAAGAAGATGTGATCCATATACACAATGGAATATTACTCAACCATAGGTAAGGATGAACATCCAACTTTTGCATCAACACAGATGGGACTGGAGGAGATGATGCTGAGTGAAATAAGTCAAGCAGAGAAGGTCAATTATCATATGGTTTCACTTCATTGTGTAACATAAGGAATAGCATGGAGGACATTAGGAGAAGGAAGGGAAAAATGAATTGGGGTAAATCGGAGCGGGAGATGAAGCATGAGAGACTGTGGACTCTGTGAAACAAACTGAGGGTTTTAGAGGGGAGGGGGCGGGGGGAGGGTTAGCCGGGTGATGGGTATTAAGGAGGGCACGGATTGCATGGAGCACTGGGTGTTATAAACAAACAATGAACCATGCAACACTACATGAGAAACTAATGAAGTACTACATGGCTAATGTAACATAATAAAAATAAATACATTAAAAAATAAAAAGATATATTTTTTTTTAAACTCTTAGAAGAAAACACAGGGCAAAAACTTCATGACATTGGATTTGACGATGATTTCCTGGCTATAACACTAAAAGCACAGGCAGCAAGAGAAAAAAACAGACAAACTGGACCTCAACGAAAATTTTTTAAATTTTGTGCATCAAAAGATACGATCCATGGAGTAAAAAGGCAATCCACAGAAAAGAAGAAAATATTTGCAAATCATATATCTGATAATGGATTAATACGTAGAGTCCAGAGAGAACTCCTAAAACTCTACAGCAAAAAAACCCAAAAAACCCAATTCAAAAATGGGCAAAGGGCTTTAAAAGATATTTCTCCAAAGAAGATACACAAATGGTACATGCCCAAGGTGGCATCATTCATCATTAGAGAAATGCAGATCAAAACTTCAGTAGGATACTATGTCATACCCACTGGAATGGCTACTATAAAGAAAGGAAGAAAGAAAGAAAGAAAGAAAGAAAGAAAGAAAGAAAGAAAGAAAGAAAGAAAGAAAGAAAGAAAGAAAGAAAATAAAGAAAATAACCAGTGTTACAAGAATGTGGAGAAATTGGAACCCCTATGCACTGTTGCAGGGAATGCCAGACGGTACGGCCACCATGGAAAACAGTATGGTGGTTGCTCAAAAAAATTAAAAATAGAATTGCCATATGATCCAGCAATTCCACTTCTGGGTACGTACCCAAAAGAACTGCATCAGGGTCTCGAACAGATATGTGCACACCCATGTTCCCAGCAGCATTCCTAACAATACCTAAAACACGGAGGCAACCTAAGCATCCATGGGTGGATGAATGAATAAGCAAAACGTGGCCCATACATGCCATGGAATATTCATCAGCCCTAAAAAGGAAGAAAATTCTGAAAGATGCTCGAAGATGAAAGAAGCTTGAAGACATGCAGCTAAGTGACATAAGCCAGTCACAAAGAGACAAACGCTCTATGATTCCAGGTCTATGAGATAATGAGAGCAGTCAAATTCAAAGACACAGCAAGAAGACCGGTGGTTGCCAGGGGCCGGGAAGAGACGGGAATGGGGAGCGACTGCTTCATGAGACCAGAGTTTCAGTTTCGCAAGATGAACAGAGCTATGGGGTTGGATAATGGTGATGGTCGCATATTATGCGTGTGCTTAATACCCCCCAAACTGCACACTTAAGAACAGTTAAGATGATGAATTCTACATGACATGTTATTTTACCACACACACCCACACAATGTACCATTTGCAATGGAAATCAAAAATACAAGGGACCTGAGGGACCTGAGATGTGCAAAGTTTTATGGAGAAAATTATCAAAAGAGATTCAAGACCTAAATACATATAGGGTTATGTATATCTTCTCCATGGATGTAAAGAAGATGTCCTAAGATGTCAGTTCTCCCCCAAACTGATCTAAACATTTAATACAAATCCACCCAACAAAGTTTTCCAAGTAACTTAAAAAGATGATTCTGAAATGTATGAGAGGGACAGGTGCCTGGATGGCTCACTCAGTTTAGCATCAAACTCTTGATTTCGGCTCAGCTCATGATCTCGGAGTTATGAGACTGAGCCCCACATCAGGCTCCACGCTGAGCGTGGAGCCTACTTAAGATTCTCTCTTTCCTGGGGCGCCTGGGTGGCTCAGTCAGTTGAGTGTCTGGTTTCGGCTCAGGTCATGATCCCAGGGTCCTGGGGTCGAGCCCCACATCGAGCTCCATGCTTGGCAGGGAACCTGCTTCTCCCTCTGCCTCTTACCCTGCTCATACTCACTCTCTCTCTATCCCTCTCTCTCAAATACATAAATAAGATCTTAAAAAAAAAAAAAGATTCTTTCTTTTCCTATTCAGCTACCTTTCCCCCATACTACTTGCACACAATCCCTCTCTAAATAAATAAATGAATGTAATGAAATATATGAGAAAGAGAATGAGGACAAACATAGCCAAGACATCCTTGATAAGGAGCAAAGCCAGGAGAACCTGATGTACCAGATACAAGACTTAGGTAACTCTAGTAATGAGGAAATCAGGTATCAACAGATACAGGAATCACCAAAGTGCCTAATCAAAGAGAACGAGGAGCCAAAAAATAGTCCACAGATATACAGAAGCATGATCTGTGATGAGGGTGGCCTTCAGCATCACTGGTGAAAATACGCACTGTAACAGAAGCTGGGACATGAATTACTACAGAAAAAAAAAAAGAAGAAAAGAAAATATAAAAAAAGAAAATCCTTCATTCCTATGACACACAAAAATCAATCACAGATGGGTAAAGATTGAAATGCGCCATGCAAAATATAAAAAGGTTTAGAAAAAAGTAAAAAATATTTTATGACCCTGCAAAGGAAGCGTTCTCGAAGAAAACACAAAAAGTAGAAATCAGAAAGGAAAAGACTGATGAACTTGACTGAATTAAAATAAAAACTTGTTCCTCCAAAGACACTATAAATAACCTGCGGAGATGAGCCACAAATTGAGAGAAGATATTTGCAATTCATAAGTGAAAAGTGATTATCATCCTAAATATATAAAGAACTCCTAAAAACCACTAAGAAAGCAACAGAAAACCTAATAGAAAATTAGGTAAAAGGCATGAACAGGCATTTCATGGAAGAAGAACGCTGAATGGCCAATAATGATTTGAAAAGATGCTCAACCTCATTAGTAATCAGAGAAATGCAAATTAAGACTATAGAGAATTACCATTTTATACAAACTAGTTTGGCAAAAGGGAAGAAGCCTGGCAAATTCTGAGCTTGCCGTGGGGCTGCGGAAGCTCTCGCTCGCTGCTGCTGGCTGTGAGCACAGGCAAAGCCACTCTGGGACACGGCTCGGCACCGTCTTCCAGAAGGAAGCAGAAAGGCGCTCTGCAATCCGGCTGCTCTACCTCGCAGATCTCCCGAGCAGAGGCACCTGGAGAGCCATGTAAGAACATTCAGAGCAGCCTCGTTTGTAATAACCAGAAAACTGGAAGCAGATCAGATGTCGCCGGATGGCAGAAGAGAGAAATCAACGGTGATACATTCACATAATGGAAAACGATACATCGGAGAAAAAACAAAAGAAACTAGAGAGAAACACCCACCTCGCCAAATATGGGAATGACAATGCTGGGTTGAGAAACAGTGTGATTGCACTTGTACGAAGCTCAAAAAGGAGCAAAGTTACACAATACGCCGTTTGGGGCTATAGGTACACCGGTGAAACGACTCCCGAGATGGTAAGGAAATTATAGACTCAGATTTCAGGGGGGTGCGGGGGGGGGGGGCATAGTCTCAGGGAGGGACCCCAAGACGGTGTCCTAATTCACCAGTGTGGCTCACCCGTGCTTGTTGTATTATCACTGCATGACTTCCAGAAACATTACATATTTTCTTTTATACACATCAACACTAAGTAGAATAAAAAGATGTGTAAGGAGGTGATTGATGACAAGCTCCGGACACATAACAGCTGACCCACCGTATTCCACCTACACGCTGGGCACAGCTCTCACTATACTAGATACATGTAATAGCCAGCCTGCTCTCCACCACACCTACCAGTGAAGATGACCTTTAGCTCCATTTTGTACACAAAGAAGCAGACACCCAGAGAGGTTAAGCAGCCAGCCCCAGGTCACACAGCTAAGGGGATGTGAGAGGCAAACTCAGGTCTATCTGACTGCAGAGTCATCTTTTTTCACCACTGGTCCCTTCCCTCTCCCACAGCAGCTGCTCCGCAGGCTCGAGACTGCTCTGGTCCCCTTTGAACACACGTTGTCACTCCTTTCTCTGACTCCCCGGAGCACTTCCCACAATCAACATGTGACCTCGAATGCCCCCCATCCATGAGTCTATGTCCTCCATCTTCCTAAAGCTCCCCAGTGCAAACGGGTAATACCCATGCCTCCCCTGCATTGCCTCGTTTTGGGTTTGAGATGTACCAGAACTCATTGGAGGGGCTCGGTCATCCTGGCTCGGATATGGAATCCCAGAGCCCTGAGGAAGGGCAGGAGGGCCACGCACTCACCTCGGGGGCTATAGCCATGGGTGTCCATGAAGGACAGGCCCAGCCGCTCATCCTCCTGCAGGGTGCTCTGGTCCGTGAAGCTCCGGTCCACCGCACTCATCATGTGGGTCTTCTCCTGGCGGTAGTTGACAGTGGCCTTGGTCATGTTCACCGGCTTCCTGCAGAGAGGGGTCGACAAGACACATTGGTCCTGAGCTGGGCAGGACAACACCCAGAGGTGGATGGGGAGGCCAAACAGTCCGGGGGCTTTGGCCCCAGGAGACTATCTAGAAGCATCTCCAGATACTGAGAGGGCTCTGCATCTATCCTTTGCTCGCCAAAACCAGAGTTGCTGCCTCCCCCACAAGGGACTGGGCAAAGTCCCTCTTCCTGGGGACCTTTGCTGAGGACAAGGGATGAAGCCCAGTGGTCTCAGGCTGGAACGTGGCCCCTGTCACTGGCCTGGAGGGCTCAGGAAATGGGTAGGATAGTCACTCTGGAACTATTCTGGTACCACGGCACTCACCCCATCCAAACTAGGAAGATGACCGCCCCAGCTCCAACCCCAGCAGGCCCCCATAGCCATCTTCCTTTCCCCCATCCTCACCGAACATGCACCCTGAGAACCCCTCTTCCCCACAATGGGGGTGCACTACAGTCCTCCTTCATGGCAGAGAGTCTGGCTGCTGCTTGGCCAGTGCTCCGGAGCTTTCCTCTGGGCAGGGGATGAACTCCAACTGGCTTCTTCCTATCCCCAGAGCCCCCAGGACAGTCCCACCATGGGCCACACTGGACGTCCATATTCCTGCCACTGCCCACCAGTCCATCCAGCCACTGGAAGCAGCAGAGGGAGGAAGCAAGAGGCCCGGTCCCTCCTGAGAGCCTTGCGAAGAGGCCCCCAGACAAGGACCCTGCACAGCCCAGGCCTGCAGCCCAGCTTTGCAGATGAGAATGGCAGTGTGTGACCCCAGAGGACTCAGAGGGAAGTGGGAGGAAGAGCAGGGGGCATAGTCCATGACCAACGTGCTGAGCAAAAGGGAAAGAGGGAATGACTTGGGACCTGTCTTGAAACTGCAGTGGAGCCAATCACAGGGAAGGCTCAGGATGAGATAGCCATTCACCCTGCTGGGCCCCACAGCATGCAGGATGTGGGGTAGACCTGAGGGAGGAGTTCCAGGTAAAGAGGGCTCAGGAACCTTGACCATCAGTGGAGATGAAGAGGCTAAGGAAGGGTTCTTCCCAGAGGCAAATTCTAATCAGTCTGCAGTTGAGAGCTGTCCAAGGCAGGGAAGACTGGGTGACCCCAACCACCAAGCTCTGGGCATCACCCTCACCATGGCCCAGGGCACAGATGAAGAGAAGCCTCTGTGGCTATGACCTTGACCACTGACATAGGAGAGAAGGTGGAGGGGGAAAGAGGGAAGGAGAGGGAGGTGAGGAGGGGGCAAGGGAATCAGGAGGATAAGAGAAGGAGGAGGGGGAGGGGGAGAGACTAAAGGGACCATGACAAGGAGAGAGGTGGGGAAGAGGGCAGAGAGAGGGAGGGAAAGGCAAACACCAGCAAACCACAGGGAGGACAGACAGAGGGCCATGGACAGAGGACAGCAGTCAAGCTGTGCCTAGAAGGCAGTCTCCAGTGGTATGCCCCAGGGCTCTGCTCTCTGCCCAGGACTCTCGGTTCACTTGGGAGAAGAACTACAAACACCAAGCACCCAGCTCCACAGAAGACAGAAGCCGAGGGACACGGGACACAGCCGGCCTCCAGGGGATCTCAGGGTAAGAGTCAGCAGATGGAAGGCAATCCTGACACTTGAAAAAGTTCTGCATTTAGGGTCAAACAAAAGCCATGGAGGGTGTGGTTGCTGGAAAAGCTGGTGTGACCCTGGATGGTGTGGATGCAGGTAGGGGGTCCAGGAGGAGGAGGGGAGAGACCCTGGTCCTCTGGGCTGTCCTGGGGGCACCTGAGCCTGCTCTGCACGGAGGGAGGACAGGCACAGGTGCAGGGAATGTTCTGGAAGGCTTGCAGAATCAGAGAAGACAGAGGCAGAACACAGTGTACCATCAGGAGACCAGGCAGTCCAAAGGGGCCCGGTGGTAACCCCAGCTCTGGCACCTTCTGTGACCTCTGACCAGTCCCTTCACTCTCTGAGCCTCGGTCATTTCATCAGTAACACGGGAGGGATCGCGGCACATGCTTCTCAGGGTCCGGGCCCAGAGGAAGAGCCCAGAAATGATGAGTCTGAAGAGCCTGAGGCCGCCCGGCTGGAGAAGGGGCTCGTGCTGACCTGAGAGTTGTGTGCACCGTGGGGACAGCTGCTAGGGAAGGGGTGGGCCTGCCCCAGACACGCGCACACACATGCCTGGCTGTGCACCCCAGAGAGGGACTGGTGCGAGGCCCTGCACATGAGGAGAACGACCTAGGGCCCGAGGGGGCAGGGAAGGGCTACTTACGGGTAGTAGGAGTAGGCATAGTGGTCCCTCCTGGCAGCGTGCAAAGAGAACAGCACGGTTGGGCCCATGGTCCTGCCACACGGTGGGCTGAGGGCAGTGCCCAGCCCGCAGGGAGAGGTCGGCTGCTTTCTGTGCTGGGGAGGGCACTGGCCAGGGACCAGATGGGTCAGGAGGACCTTCCCTGTCCCAAGGGCTGGCTGGGCTCAGTCATCGAAAACCAAGACACGAAGCCCCTTCCAGAACCTTCCCAGAGCCCGCTGCTGGAGGGAGGAGGAGATGGGGAAAGGGCCTGGGGAAGGAGAGCTTTCACATAGTCACACACACAGACACAGAGAGAAATACACACACTTGCACACTCACACATAAACGGACACACTCACGTGGCTACACGATCACACACAAACAACCTCCCTCACATGCTCACAGGCGCCCCCACTCCCCACTGCAGCCCCACCCCTCAGGTCCAACACTCCTCACACCTGCAGGCCCCTCTGCCTCTGCGGGCTCAGCCCTCTGCACACACCTGTGCCTGGGAGGGAGCCCTGGCTGGGGGAGCAGAGGTGGGGAGAGGGCTCCTACTGGACTCTGGGGCAAAGGTGAGGCCCACCCTCCGCAACCCAGACTGCCCCTGCATGTGCGATCCATCAAAGGAGCTGTGCTGCCCCCTCTGGGCACCCAAACCATGGCTTGGCTCTGATCCCACTTCACAGGTGGGGAAGCTGAGTCCCAGAGAGTCGTGGTCCTCCTAGGCCTCTCTGGGGGGTCAAGGGCAGAGTTTAGACACCTGTCCTAAGACCCGGACCCCCAGAGCCAGCTCCCTCCTGAGGCCCCCTCCAGGCACATCCAGGGGTCCTCCACTCACCTGCCCCCACACCTCCCCACCAGCAGGGACCCCCGGGAATGGACTTCCACAGGGACTCCTGCAGACTGGGCAAAGGGAAGGAGACAAGAGTGGGAGACTGAGGCCCAGCGAGGGCAGGAGAGTGGCTGGAGGCCACACAGCACGTCTCCTCTCCTCCATCCCAGGAGAGAGAGGAAGGTACAGGCCTGTGGCTGGTCATGGGGACCCCAAAGAAGAGGGGGAAGGTGGAAGGAATGGCATCCTGGTCTCAGCTGTAACGTCATGACTTTTCAAGAGCATTCCACAAAGACTCCCCGATAATTACCAACTCTATCGTGTCACCTTTACCCTCTCTCTGTTACCCTCTCTTTTCACAATCTGTTATTATCTGTTTGTGCTGTTTCTAGTTTAATGTCAGGCTCCACACTAGCTCCAAAGGACAGCATCTCCTCTTCTGCCCATTGCAGGCTCCCAGAGCCCTGGACAGTGCCCAGGACAGGACAATCCCCCAATAAATATTTCATGGAATTGAGTAGTCAATAAAGAGGGAAAATAAATAAAAGAACTCCACCTCTGTGAGCGTCCCTATCCTCCCCCAAAGGAGTGAGATTAACAATGACCCCGCCCAAGGGTCCACTGTCAGCCCGGCTCCTCCCTGCCTCTCTCCACCTGCTGAGCTGGGAGTTGGGGGGGAAGGGGTCAGGAGGACCCTACTCCACTGGGCCAGGCCCTGGGGATCCACAGCCAACAGGACAGAAATTTCTCTGCCGTCATGGAGCTCTCAGTCCAGCAGGGAAGAAAAACAACTGAGCCTAAGTAAAGAACTCTAAGTAAAAGAAAAAGTTTAGGGAGAAGAAAGCAAAGGAGAAGGGTGGGATTCTGAAAGCAGAATAAGAGCTATACCGGCCTAGGGAGTTCCCCAAGCACAGATGCCTCCAGGCTCATTGCCCACCCCAGCAGGGCAGAATGGGGAGCCTGACCACCCGACCCCCGACCCCCACCCAGCGTCTCCCACCCCAGGCCATCTCCTTCCTCCAACAAGGATGCACAAGGGGGAACTGGGTATCTGCCTTCCCTCAGCAACCTCCTGACCTGCCTGCGACATTTAATGTGGGCCCCTCCATGGCTGGCAGGCCTGCTCTGTCCCCTGCCAGTGCAAGGCAGACTGGAGGAGCCCTGAGGGGCACGGTAGACCCTGAAGGCCAGGATAGGATTTCAGAGGGGGGCTGCATGAGGTGCTAGAGAATGGGACTGAGTGGCTTTTAGAGGAAGGAAGGAAGGAAGTCTGGGGGGATCCTCAACACTCCAGGGGTAGCCTGGAAAGGTTTCCAGGATAGCACATGTGCAGACTCATGGCTTCCTAATGAGGCTCCAGCAGCATCTCTGACCCATCCTGTCCTGGGCCTAAGGCTCTCTGCAGAGGTGGGTGACACCCTCCACTGGGCCCATCCTCTCTCCTTGAGGATCAACTTCTAAGGCTTCAAATACTACTTACAACTGGACTCCAGTTGTAGGTAGTACAACTCAGCCCCAGGATCTGACCTCTCCCCTACAGCCCTCAACATCTGCCCCCTCTCCACCCCACTGCACCCCAGTCCCCCACAGAGGAGGAGTGCAGATACTTGCTAATTCTGGGTTTCTACTGCATGCTGGCCACAGTGAGGCCCTTCATATCCGGGCCCGAAGGAGCCCGGGTTTTGTCGTCAGGACTGGCTTCAAACCAGACCCTGTCACTTACCAGCCGAGTGACATGGTCAAGTCGCTCAGTTAGTTTCCTCATCTGTGAGAAGGGGCTCAGACCTGCTTCATGGGTCGGGATCCAAGAAGGAAGAGTTCTCTGATGTGTCCTGATGCTAGAACAGTGCCCGGCCCACGGCAGGGGTTCAGTAACTAATGTTCTAACGGATGGGCGTGTGTAAAGCCCTGGGCGCACGGAAATCCGCATTAAATGACAGAGTTTAAAGAGTTTATCTCAAGAAGCTGTGCAGGCACTAGGGAAGGGAAAAAATCAGCTTCACGCCTTGGACAGGCCAACCCCACCTGGCCAGCAGACTCTACCACCAGACTCCCTGGGAGAGTGTCTCTCTGCCAGTGCCAGGCCTCGGGAATGGCAGCTCTGGCCAGTTTTCTGCTAAGTAGGCCAGATCCTACTTATCAGCTCCTGGCAGCCCTGAGATCCAGCAGCAGCCCCAAAACAGCTGTGCAGAGCCCAGCTCCAGAGAGAGCTCCCCGGGTGACCTCGGGCAGGGTCATGCCCCCTGGGACCTTGACACCTCCATCCTCCCATTAGTGTGCTTGGACCAGTGTCCTGGGGCTGCCTGGCAGTGAATGACGTGGAGGGGACGGGAACCAGAGTGGTCTCAGAAGCTTCCCTCACTGCCCCACCCAGAGGCTCTGCCTTCATCTGTTCCATGTACTGGGCCTCCTACGGGAGGCTGAGCTGGTGTTTTGAAAACAGGTTCTGTTGCTTTAAGACAATCTGAAAACCACTAGACTAGATGTCCTTGAACTACCAGGCAGCTCTCACCTTCTGGACTCTGAGCCTCCACAGTTCTAAATTCTGAGATCTTTAGAATCCCAAATCCTGGATTTCTGGAACTGAAATTCTAAGTTGTGGATTCTAAGAGGTGCTGGGATTCATGCTGCCCACTGTAAGATGCCCTGGGAAAGGCAGAGCCAGACCTTGGAGGCCGGGGGTGATGGTGGGGGGGTAGGAGCGAGGTCTCCTCTGAGTTGTAGGCCCAGGGGGACGCCACAGGGCTCAAGAGTACAAGGGTCCAGGGCAAGCTGAGCCCCAAGGAAGATGGGGCCAAGAAAGAACCGTGGTTCAGGTTCCTTGGCTTCAAGGGGAGTGAGCAGCACCCCCACTGCTCAGGGTCAGCACCACGACCCCGTGGTCAGAGCAGACAAGTCAGCAGAAGGTCTGCAGGGGGCTGGAGATTCAAAGTCAGGTCACCTCCACCCCCTCCCCCACTGGAAGAGCCCAGCAGGCACAGGGGGGCAGTGCCCACGTACAGCACAGCTCCTTGGCGGCAAACGTGGAACGCCCTTCCCTGGATAGTGGTACCTGGCACCAGCCAGACCTGAGCTCCAGCCAAGCCACTCCAGCACAGTTTCATTTGCAAAGGCTCTGGCTTCCCGTTGCCTGGCTTGGGCCCGTCCTTAGGCCTGATGCCCAGACTGGCAGCCCTCCACACTCACCAGGCGGCTGCCCTCCCAGGCCCCAGCCTCTGCTCCTCTGTGTCCACCAGGCTTCTGAGAGAGCCTTGGGGGAGTCATGGCACCAGCCTCACTCACCCCTTACGGATGATGACAATGATGGCCCCCAGGAGGAGGATGAGGACAGCAAGTCCCCCTGCACAGATGCCCAGGATGAGCCCCATCTCCTCCGATCTCTGGGACACCTCCAGGGGTCGCTTGCTTTCCTTGCAGGCAGCTGGGGAGAATAAAGCATGACAGCGGGTCAGAGGGGAAATAGGGACCACCTACCTACAGGGTTTGAGTCCCAAAGAAGACACTAACACATGTGCACAAAGAAAACTGCTCCCTATCCTCAGCCCATAGGCGGCCTTTCAGTCCGATCTGCCCCCTCACCATCCTTATAACTTCTGCACCCCCATGGACCCCATCAGGAAGAGCTCCCTGTCCTCTCTACTTTCTCAAATCCTCCCATCCTTCAGTGGACAGAGGATGGAGGCTGCCTGGGGCCTTCAGACTCACTCTCCTGCTCTCCTGAGAGGCAATGATGGGGAGAGAATTATGTACCTAGGGCCTGCTGAGAGCATCTCAGGAAGGGGGACCAGCAACACTCCCTGTCTACACTGCAGGGTCCACCTCTCCCCCACCGCAACAAAGGGGGCAGATACAGAACCCAGAACCGGTGCCCAGTGCCATCATCCCCACAGCCCAACCATAATAGGTCCCCCTCCGCAGACCTGTTCCAGGCCCCTGCCAAAACCACTTCTGTGACCATGAGAGGAGAGAGGGAGGTTAGCCCTACTGCCCAGGCTAGGAGAAGGAGTCTTTCAGGTGGGACAAACAGGGACCTGACCCAGGTCTGCTGGACCACTCTCCTCTGCTCCCACAGCTCTGGGAGCTCAGGACCCACCCCCCAAGAGCCCAGAGGGGAGAAACCCTCTGCTAAAGGCCAGGAAGGAACCTAGCGGGGCTTACCTTTCCTGGCGATGCGGATGCAATTCAGCCGGGTCTCCTGGAGACAAAGATGGGGGTCTCAGCAAGACAGAAGCCCCAACCTAACCCTCCCCAGGGGGATCCTTGGGGAGCTTGTCTTGGGCCTGGTCAGGGCTTGTCCAGTGCCCATTGTAACCAGAGACACCCCACCCCTCCCGGAAGGAAAGAAGGCCTGAGGGGGAAGCAGGGAGGGGAGGGAGGGCCCTGCAAAGAAGGCAATGACTTAGGGAAGGGGAATGAGTTCAGAGGGAGCAGGGGAAGAAATAGTGTGGGAAGGGGGTGGCCGTGGGGCTGGTTAAGAGGGGCGCCCTGGGAGGAAGGAGCCTGGAGAAGGGGAGGGCTTCCAAGAGGAGGTGGGTGGTGGGCCTCAAGGCCTGGGGAAAGCAGGACCCAGAAATGGACCCCTGGAGAGAGGAGCCTAAGACAGACACTAGCGCCTCAGGGAGAGGGCAGAGATAGACTGGGGGCTTAGACATAAGAGAGTCTGGGGTAAAGGCTCAGGAAGGGGAGCTGCTTTAAGAGAAGCCTGAGGTCAGGAGGCTCAGGGAAGGAGGGGAGGGTTCTGGAGAGGGGTTGGGGCCGGGGGAGGGGCTCTGGCCTCCTAGGGGGCTGCTCAGATGGCTCTGAGGCCTTGTCCCCAGCCTATCCCCATCACAACCCCTGCTAGTCCCTCACCCCCTTCAGGTGGCTTGTTGCCTGGAAGTAGATGAGGTAGGCCTTCCTGGGCTCAAGCGGTGGGTTCCAGAAGCCGCGATAGGTCTGGTTGTCACCCACGGTGAAGGGCATGGCTTCCGGCAGACTGCTGGCCGCCAGTTCTGCCCCAAAGTAGTGCACCAGGCCACGGGCCAGCGCCGCGTCAAAGGTCAAGGGCACTGGGAAGCAGTCCTGGCTGCCTGGCTCCCGACGCAGCCTCCGCTGCCGCTCCTCCTCCACGATCACCTGGTACACACTGGACAAGGAGGGGACAGGGCAGTGACCCCAGGGCCAGGAGATAGGGAGAGCCATCTGGTGGCAAAGGGCATGGGCTTTGGGGTCAGGCCCAGCCTGGGACTAATCTTGGCTCTGCGTCTTACTCGCTGGACAACTCTCTTAGCCTCCCTGGGCTTCAGTTTCCTCCTCTGTAAAGCCAGCGTGATCACAGGACTGTTCCACGAACTAAATGTAAGGAAGGAGGCAAGCTTCAGAAGCAGCCAGTGCCTGTCAGCTGTTAGGCCTGTGACTAAAGTGGAAAGAACTCGGGCCCTGCTCAGTGGCACCAAGCCCTAGAGCTCCACCCTGGCTCTCTTCAACCCGGGCTCCTATGCCTGCCACAGGACCTGGGGACCCAAAGCCTCAGGCTCCACCCCAGTACCTACGGCTCCCTTTGGGCCTCTGGGAAGGACAGTCAGACACAAAGTGTTCATTCATTCAGAAAGTGCAGAAGCTCAGACGCTGGGCCCTTGCTAGGTGGGCACTTGGGGACCTAGGCTTTCTGGAACTGACCTCCATTTAGAGAGACATTCACGGAGCAAGCAAGCAAGGCCACACGAATCCTGCATCTGGTACTCTCCCAACCTGGAGGCACCTCGAGTCTGCAACTCGGAGCCCGTCATCTCCGGGTCCTGACAGCTGATTTGTTTTCCCTCGTCCCCATTCCCTCTGATGTGTGTCTCCTGGTCCCGACTTGTTGTTTCTATTTATTTTTATCAGTTTACTGAATGCCCTTTTGCTGTGAGCTCCTCCAAATCCTCGGTGGAACAAAGCCAAGAGTAAATAAGCGAGTGCTGACAAATTCAAATATTTCTAGTCACAGGCTCGGTCACGTCTTGGTGTGTGACACCCGTTCTGACAGCTGCACTCTGGGAAGTAGCAATGCCTTTCCCTGGCTCTCCAGCTGTTTCTCCCAAGCTTCGGAGCTGTGGGGGAATCACCCCAGTGCCCTGGATTGGGGCCACACAGCTTCGTCCCTCATCACTAGCACACTGCAAACACCAGCCCAGGCCCCCCTCGGCCTCCATTTCCCAGGTCAAGGTCAGGCCTCCCCTGGCCCCAAACCCCACCAGGAGGTGATAACAGTCAACACTGAACAAAGCATCTTGATTGGGATGGTCTCCAGTATGCAGACAAGGAAAAGGAGAGGTAAAGGGACGTGCCCAAGGTCACACAGCTACTACGCCTGCTCCCAGACTCAGCTGCACAAGGCCCTGAGGCTCCTGGAAATGCAAAATGCCCCTCAAACACCCTGACGTTGACCAGAGAGTCTGGGAAGCAGCCCGGGACAGGCTCTGCAGTAGCAAATACAGGGGAGGAAAAGCAGGAGAAGGGGGGTGAGGACATGAGGGGGTGTCAAGGGTATGTGGCCAACCTGCTACCTTCTCAGAGACTTAGCAGGATTTTCCCACACCCAAATACAGGCCATCACCTCTCCGGGTGCACACATCTTTGTGGGAGGATGGGGTGGACCAGAGGGACAGGGAGGCCCTGTGACTTCAAGAAAAGGTACAGGCTGTGCAGACAGACCTGGGTTTCAAACCCCAGCTCTAGCCCCTGCCAGCTGTGTGACCTGGGGGGCAGGGCCACGGAGCCTGTTTCCCAACGTGTGAAATAAGGAGACAGCTCCCCCTGCCACAGGCCACCATGAGGATAAAATGACTTGTGCAGGTGAGGTCACAAACACAGTGTCTGACTGAGAGCAGGCATGCAGACACATCCTACAAATACCCTCACGCTCACGCTCTCACACACACGCACTCACACCTCCATACCACACATTGCACATACACAGTATGTGTCTTTATCTCACACACACACACACACACACACACACACACACACCATCTTGTCTCCAGCACCTTCTCTCCAGAGAGGCAGCCCCAGTTTTCTCTAAGGAGAAGAAAGTGGAGAAGCCAAGTTCTAGGCCACTCCAGAGAGAGAGATCCCTGTCTTGCCGGCTGCCCCAGCCTTCTAGAAAGGCTGAGTCTCCCTGGCCAGGACCTTCTGGGGAAAAGGCTGGGAAGAAATAAGGCCCCCAGAGTTTCATTTCTCCAAGATGTCTGAGGGAAGACCCTCAGGAGAGGACTGGACAGTCACACCTCCCCAGGCTGATCACTGCCCAATGATCTCACGCCAATCACCATTAGACACCCATGGCTTCAGAGGGGAGCAGCTGCAGACTTTCCACCTGCCCAGGATCACAGAATATGCTTCTCCAGACACTCTGAGCCCTGAGCAGGAAACTGAGGGAGGATGAGGATGCGCTGGCCCACGTGGCGGGGGCCTCTGGGTCAGAGGAGGGGCTTCCTCCCTATGGCCCTGACCTCCCACCTCTCCACTTAGGCTTTCCCACCTGATGGGCGCGCCACGGCCCTGTGCTGGCCTCAGCAGAACGGTGATGGTGTTCTCAGACTCGCCCAGGGGTGACGGCATGTCAGCATAATCAAAGCTGGGAGCTGGGAAAGGGGACAGGAATGTAATCATGGAGCCTGGCCACTAGACCAGGAAGGTCGGGCCTCTAGCCTCCTTGCTTCCTGTCCTCGGATCTCTTCCCCTTCAGCCTTGTTCCCTCTGACCTGAGCTTCCATGACTTCGGACCCCTAAACTCAGCCCTCAGATTCCACAGTCTCCTGACCCCTTGGACGTAATCCTCCCTGATCCTGAACTTAACCCCTAAATGGTACATTCTTCTCAGTGGGGGTCCTCAAGAGATATCCCCAGGACACCCCACCCCCACCCCCACAATGTGCCCTCTGCCTACAGAACCCTGGGATTGGGAGCTACCTCTCAGGGGGTCAGGCCAGGTTGGGCAGGGTTACCTGAGATATTTGTGGTGATCTCGGTGAGTGCCGCCTGGCCAAAGCCTTTGCCCGTCCGGGCGCGCACAGAGAACAGGTAGGTGGTGCCTGGGTGCAGGTTGGAGAAGACGTGGTAGGTCTCGTTGCGGAGCTTGGAGATGGTACGTCGTGGGCCTGGCACGTTCACCGCCGGGTCTGATGACTCAATGCTCTGGTAGCTGATCTAAGGGTGGGGCAGGTACAAAAATGGGGAAGGTCATCACTGGCCCCGTAGCCTCCCACCCATCGTAGTTCAGGAGAGTTAGGGAGAAGGCTAGGAAAATGGGAGAGGTTCAATGGGACTATGGATGCCCATAGCCCAGACCTCTGGGCACCTTCACCTCTCTTCTTTCAGGGCTCCTGTCCCCATAACCCACAAGGCACAGACCCTGACCAGGAGAAGGAACCTCAGTGATCACTTCTGCCCTGCCATGCATCTCCCTCTCCAAGCTGTGAGCCCACCTTCCACCAGGGATCCCCCGCTGTAATGAGGTCCAAACCCACCTCATACTGAGTGATGAGGCCGTTGGGTTCCTGGGGCTCCTCCCACTTGAGGAAGATCATGTCCTCCAGGGGAGTGAAGGTCAGGGACTCGGCCGCAATCCCGCCAGGCACTGCAAGGGAAAGGTGGCCCAGGGCAAGGGAAAGCCGGCTTTGGAGTCAGACGCCTGAATTCAAATTCCAGCCTTGCTGTTTCCTAGCTGGCCTGCTGTGACAACTCACCCTCCCTCAGCCTCGGCTTCCTTGTCTGTGACATGGGTATGAAAATAACTCCACCCTCACCAAAATTAAATGATGCTATGTACACGAAGCACCAAGGTAAATATCAGGAACTTCATTTGATTCCACCTGTTCCTAAGAACTCAAAGGAGGTAGCTGCATTTTCATTACTGAGCAGCCTGCATTCAGCAGAGAATGTCTGAATGTTCCTATTTTGTTCCAGTTGAGTGGTTTTCAGAAAATACAGACCTTTGTCAGAGAAATGGAAACAATTGCATTAGAGTGGCGGGATTCTGGGTAGGAAATGTTTTCTTGTCTAAAAATTTCTGATTACACAAAAACTACATTCAGTGCAGAAAATCAAAACGAGCATCAAAGAAAATCAATGGCACCTAGAATTCCATCACCCGGAGACACCATTAGCATTTTCGCATAAACCCTTTCGGGTCAGGTTTGGTTTGGTTTTGCTCTAAAGCACCATCTTAACAGCAGTCACAGGGTATTTCTTCTAGGAAGAGAATAGTCTTTGGGAAAACACCTTGATAAACCATTGTGGGGAAGCTGAAATCCTAAGGCAGGGAAAAGCAGAGCCCAAGGTAACCATCTTAAAATGAACAGTCCACAAGGCAACCCCACCCTCCAACCGCCAATTTGATAAAATGAAAACGACAATTCCAAGTGTTAGTGAGGATACAGAGCAACTGAAATCTTCACACGCTGCTAGTGGGCGTGTAAACTGTCACCGGCACTTGGGGAAAACTGTCTGGATAGATCTACTTATTGTGAACATACATCCCATAACCTAACCATTCCATTCCCAGGCATTAACCGATTGGAAATGTGTATATCTACCCTCCCTCCCAAAAAAAAAGAATCTACGAGGATTTTTCTTATAGAAAATTTAAAAATTTAAAATAGGAATTTTGATATTATTCGATTATAATATAATGTAATATAAATTAAAATATAATATTATTAAAATAAACATGGTAGATTCACGTAACGGACTGCTGAGTAATAAGAATGAATTCCCGGGGCCACCTGGGTGGCTCAGTGGGTTGAGCCTCTGCCTTCAGCTCAGGTCATGATCTCAGGGTCCTGGGATCGAGCCCCGCATCGGGCTCTCTGCTCAGCGGGGAGCCTGCTTCCCCCTCTCTCTCTGCCTGCCTCTCTGCCTACTTGTGATCTCTCTCTCTCTCTCTCTCTGTCAAATAAATAAATAAATAATCTTTTAAAAAAAAAAAAAAAAAGAATGAATTCCCTAGAACTGGACACACTACACGACTGGCTCCCTCAAGTGCAGTCAAGAGAAAGAAGCCAGTCATAAAAAGAATACACAGTGTATGACTCCACAGATAGAAGGTTCAAGACCAAGCAGAAATTAATCTATTGCATTATAGCTTGGGATAATGGTTACTCTCGGGAGGTTGTGAGTGGGAAAGTACATAAAGGAGGTTTCTGGGGAGCTGCTAATGCTATTCCTTGATCTGTGTAGGGGTTATCCTGGTGTGTCCAGTCTGTGAGAATTCACTGAGCTGTCCACTTCAGGTTAAGTGTACTTCCTAGAAGTACTTATACTAATACTTCCATGAAAAGTAAAAAAATATTAAGTAAAGAGCAGTTACTGGAAGGAAGGAGGAGAGGGACAGAGAAAGAAGGAAAAGCAGCCCAAGTGAGGCCCGGTCAGAGCCAGGTAAAGCAGCCATAACATACCTGGGGGAGAGGGAAGACAGAGGTCAACCGACTTCAACAAGGAAGGGGTCTGATGTTGAACCTGAGGCTGATTGTGAAGGGTAGTAGACTAGGCCATCCCCAAATATACCACTTTGGCCTAAGGATTACTTTGAACTGAATCAAGAAGCAGCAGATACAAGAAAAATTCTCTGCCCTCCGCATTTGCCTAAAAGCAGGACATAAATCTGTAAAAGTGTCCCCCTCCCCTCCCTAGCAGGAAGGAAAGAAGTTAAGCACCAAGTCAACACTAGACTCTCAGCAGCCCAGAAGAATCTGCATAAACTTTATGAACTAGTCCTTACCTATCACTAGTTTCCCCATATATTTGCCTCCACATAATCCGCTGTCCCTAGAATCTCAAAGTCCTTTTCCCATCACACTGCTTCCCTAGAAATTCATTGTTCTTGTGTTAAGACACAAGGTAAGCCCAAGTTTCAGCCACTCCTTTGAGTTACGCATCACTGAGTAATTCAGTGTGTGTGTGTGTGTGTGTGTGTGTGTGTGTTTGAGACACACACACATGGTAATAAATTCCTATCTGTTTTTCTCTTGTTAATGTCTATTCTCAGGCTAATTTATAGGGCCCCAACCAATGAACTTAAGACAAGTAGAAGGAAAAAAGTTAAGTTTTCCCTTCTCTGCATTTGCAATGCACTTCGGGGTAAATCCGCAGTCCTCACTCCCACCCCCAGCAAAAAATCAGCACATCAGCACGGGGCCTAGGGCAGACACATTGCCATGGGTAAGGGGGCTTTGTGGAAATCAAGGAAGGAGCTGAATTTTGTGTCTGGGCCACTGCTGTGCAGAAGAGAAAAGTCCACATGTAGAGAGTCGAGAAAAATTGTCAACCAAGGAGCTCTGAGAACCTGTAGATCTACAGGAATCTAGGGGAAGGCTTGGGATCTATGCTGGTATTACAGTACCGTTATTAAGAATGAAAACTCTGGGGGCGCCTGGGTGGCTCAGTGGGTTAAAGTCCCTGCCTTCAGCTCAGGCCATGATCTCAGGGTCGGGATCAAGCCCCGCATGGGGCTCTCTGCTCAGCAGGGAGTCTGCTTCCTCTTCTCTCTGCCTGCCTCTCTGTCTACCAATAAATAAAATCTTAAAAAAAAAAAAAAAAAAGAAAAGAAAAAGAAATACTACACTCAGGAGAAAAAAAAAAAAAAGAATGAAGCAGACAGCCAGGTCTGAAATCCAGTTCGGCTACCTATCTCCTAGCTACGTGACCTTACCTGTAAAATGGGGATAGTATATAGTTGCCTACCACCTAGGCTTGTCATGGGGCTTATATGAAAAGCATTCACAATAGTGCTTGACATGTAATGAGTGCATTATCAGTACTGGTTTGACAAAAGTGGAACACTGTACCCGGCAAGAACAGAACACACAATTTTTTCAGTTACACATGGAACATGTCCCAAAATTTAACCATACATTGGGCCATAAAGCAAGGTTCAAATTTCAAAAGACCAAAATTATTTAGAGTATGTACTCTGACCACAGAGGAATTAAGCTAGAAACCAATCACAGATAATTATGGAAGTCTTAAAAATCAGACAATGTAATTCTAACTCTTGAGTCAAAGAAGACATCACAGCAGAAGTTAGAAAATACTTTGAACTGAATAATAACAAAGACAGAACACATCAAAACTCATGGAAGGCAGCTAAAGCGGGGCTTCGAGGGAAACTTATAGCTTTAAATACATCTATAAGAAATAAAGAAAGGCTCAAAATCAATGATCTAATAAGCTTCCATCTCAAAAAGCTAAAAGAACAGATAATAAAATCTAAAGAAAGTATAAAAAAGGAAATACAGAATGAAAAATAAATATACAGTAAAGGAAATCAACTAACCCAAAAATTGGCTCTTTGGGAAGATTAAAAATGTACACACCCCTAGCAAGAAAATGGTGAGAAGACACAAATTACCAAAATCAGTAAAGAAAAGGGGGACACATGCTATTGATCCTACAGAAATTAAATAAATATAATCAGAGATTATAACCAACTTCATGTCAAGAAATGTGACAATTTAAGTGAAATCAACAAATTCCTTAAAGCCCAGTACACCAAACAGATACTAGAATAGAAAATCTTAATATTCAAAAACCTATTTTAAAAAATAAAACTGTGATTAAAAAACATTGCCACAAAGAAAACTCCAGGCCCAAACAGCTTCATTGCTGAATTCTTTCAAACATATAAGGAAGAAGTATACCCATCTAACCCAAAATCTTCCAGAGAATAAATATTAGCCTTTGTTGTTTCCTTGGTCATTCCTTCATTGTTTTAATTGTTTGAATCGGAAGCAAAAAATTTCTGAGAAAAATTTCAGCCTGGGGGCACGTGGGTGGCTCAGTCCGTTGGATGCCCGACTCTTGACTTTGGCTCAGGTGGTGATTTCAGGGTTGTGAGATCAAGCCCCAAGTCGGGCTCTGCACTGAATGGGGAGTCTACCTGAGATTCTCTCTCTCCCTCTCCCTCTGACCTCCCCAACCCTGTCCTCTCTGCCCCCCACCCCACTCACTCTCTCAAAAAAAATAAATACAATATTTTTTTTAAAAAACATTGCAGCCTCACATAGGGTGTCTGTGGAAGGCACTGCGTACACCAGGAAACAGGGCTGGGACTCTTACCATCCTCGTCCGTCTGGAAAGTGACCTCCTTGCCCTCCTTGCGCCCCTCGGGGTTAGCGAGGATGAGCCGCACGTGAACATTCCGGTAGGGCAGCAGGTTCTTGATGGTGTAGCGGCTGGCGCCCCGCTCCATCTTCACGCACTCCCGGACGGTCTGGTTGTGGCTGCTGCCCAGCGTGTAATGATAGCACAGGGACACCGCATACGTGTGGCAACGTGTCACGTTGTAGCCCAGAGGTTCCCACTGCAGGGTCAGCTGGCGAGCCTGGATCTCAGCAAAAGCCAGGCCTTTGGGGGCCCTCATGGGTTCTGGGGAACCCAGGAAGCAGAGAGCAGAAGATAGAGGAAACAGGAAGAGAAGAAGTGGGACAGGAGAGAAAATATCAGCTGCTGAGATCATCCCTCCTTTGTCCTCCAGAGTTCAAGAGACCACCTAGGACACGGAACAGGGAGTAGAATCGTGTGCACTGGAGTCAGGCGGGGCCACATCTGAATGCGACCTCTGCCCCTTGCTGCTGGCAACCACCAGCTGAGTCCTTTTGCCCCGAAAGCCTTAGTGTCCTTCCCCACAAAATGGGATAATATGCCCTACCTCACAGGACAGTTGTGAAGTTAATATGTGCAAAGCACATATGACAATGGCTGATACACAACAGGCCTTCAAAAATGTTAGCTACACTCTTTTTTAAAGATTTTATTTATTTATTTGACAGAGATCACAAGCAGGCATTGAGGCAGGCAGAGAGAGAGGGGGAAGCAGGCTCCCCGCTGAGCAGAGAGCCCGATGCGGGGCTCGATCCCAGACCCCTGAGATCATGACCTGAGCTGAAGGCAGACGCTTAACCCACTGAACCACCCAGGCGCCCCTACACTTTTTTTTTTAAGATTTTATTTATTTATTTGACAGAGAGAGATCACAAGTAGGCAGAGAGGCAGGCAGAGAGAGAGGGAGAAGCAGGCTCCCCGCTGAGCAGAGAGCCCGATGCGGGACTCGATCCCAGAACCCCGAGATCATGACCCTAGCCGAAGGCAGAGGCTTAACCCACTGAGCCACCCAGGTGCCCCCACTTTTTCTTTTTTAATAACACAGTTCACCTTCTATTTTAAGATCATCCTGGAGGGCACTGGACAGTCTGAAACAACTAAATGCTGTATTTTTCTTAATTGACTAATTCCAAACGTTCTGAAACAGCTTATAGTAATATATATGATACGATAAGATACAGACATCAGGATGATGGGGGAAATAACACCAAATAATTAAAAAGCGCCAGAGAATGTTAGGGAAACAGAACTGTGTGCCATTAGGTCCCACGCAGGTCTAAAGAGAAGGTTCAGATTGGGTGGTGAGTTTTTGCCAAAGCAAAAAGGGAAACACAATCTGTTCTAGAAGGGCAGTAACAACAATGGCAGGGGGCGCCTGGGTGGCTCAGCCAGTTAAGGGTCTGACTCCTGATTTCAGCTTGTGATTTCAAGTTGTGATCTCAAAGTTGTGAGATCGAGCCCTTCTTGAGATTCTCTCTCTCCCTCTGCCCCTTCCCCCAGCATGTACTCACTCTCTCACTCTCACTCTCTCTCAAATAAATAAATAACAATAACAACAACAACAATGGCAGTTAACAGGCACTGGGGGCTTTGCCTGAGCCAGGCCTTGCTCTAGAGGCTTGACAATGCTTTATCACAATGAATCCACCCTGTAATCCAACAGACAGGGACCATTATTAGCCCCGTCACACAGATGTAGAAATGGAGGCACAGAGAGATTAAGTAAGCTGTCCAGAGTCAGTGGCCCGGATAGTCACGTGGAGAAGTTGAGAGGCAAACCTGGACAGGCCGGCTCCAAAATTCAGACTCTTAACCACTACCTGCCTCGCCCTGAAGAAGTCAGTGTCCAGGAACAACCAGCACAAAATCACACGGATGCCTCAGGAGGGACAGGCAGCCCCCCCCGCCCCCGCCGTGCATGGGAGGAGCATAGTGCTGCGATTCACAGCCTCTGGGTGCATCTGTGAAGTCACTTATAAAATGGTAAAGGACCCCGAGGCTTCCGAAGCAAAGGCAGGATGGAGCCCAGGTGCTCAGCCTCTAGTGCTCCATCTGCCTTGACCAGCGGCGTGATCTCCAGGCTCTGGGTCTCAATTTCCTCATCAAGGAAATGATGGAAGAAGCCAATTGCTGGCAATGACTGGTACCCAAACTCTGTGAGATGCAGATTATATATATATATATATATGTACATATATATATATATACACATACACACACACACATATAATATATATTACCCTCAAATCCCATGAGCACCTGCGAAGCGTCCCCAGTTAGAGACTCTCGGGACACGCCTTAGTGAACAGATGAGAAAGCTTGGCTGCTTGGCCTCTTGAGATGATTAAGTACGACCCTATTACCGTTTCTACAGGATTCATTTGCTCAGGATGCTCTTTACAAAGAAGACACAGAGGGAAACACCAGCCCAGGCTGCTCTAGACTCAGTACAATTCCAGCCCAAGTACAGCCCAAATCAAAGTTCATTTCCACCAGAGCTTTCCTTCCTTCCCCGGGCCACGGGCAAGTGACAGCCTCCAGTCATTTATCAGGCCACCAAAGAGGTATGTTAGCACCTGCTAGGAGCAAGGCCCACCTCTTAACTTCTTGCAAAGTCGGGCTCCCTCCTCCCCACAAGCAAGGCAGACCTGATCCCCACCCGACACGAACGTTAGGGGTCTGGTCCCACTGCTCACTGCGATCTGAGGGCTGCTGGCCACAAACCCACTGACCATGCTTATGTTTCCTCTCCTGTTCCTGGCTCCCAGAGATTTCCCTCAGGTTTTTCTATGTGGTTTTGTTTTAACCCACACTCTTAGGTGCTTGGAGTGGATGGGGGTGGATTCTGTGTGCGCTCCCTCTGCCGTCTTGTTCAGAGATCCTGGCTTATTCTCTGACTTCCAGGCTCTGGTCCTGGCTTCCCCGTGTGTACAGTCTGTCACGGGTGTCTAGGGAGCCGAAGTACCACTGATTTATTTGCTCCCAGTAGCTCTGCTCACATCCCCGCCCCTGGGGACACTGACCCCTTTCCATCCTTGCAGGACTGGCCAACATACACGGCTGCCTTTGCCCTCCTGCTGCGTTTAAACAAAGGCACAAGAAGTTATATGTGAACTGGTGACACAGGCTGGGCTGGGACTATGACAAACAGGACAGTAAGTGTCCCATCCAAAAGGGACAGCTGCTACTCAGCTCCAGGCAATATTCCCATAAAGGACTATAGACTCAGGATGGCCAGATCCTCCCTTTTTAAAAACAAAAAGATTCTAGTTTTAAGTAATCTCTACACTCAACGTGGGGCTCAAACCCACAACCTGGAGATCAAGAGTCGAGCGCTCCATCAACAGAGCCAGCCGGGCGCCCTGAGATCCTCCCATTTTTTAAGAGAAGCCAGAAATTCAGATTTTTATGTGAAACCTCCAGATTTTTAAATACTGGCAACCTACTTAGGTTTTGGTAAAAACCATGTCATATGGCACAAAATAACAAACATCTAACCTAAAGGCTAAAATTCAACCTTCGTGCTTGGTGCCTCACTCTCCAAAAGCCATGTTAGCCCCCACCAACCTCACTGGACTAAGGGATCTTTGAAAAGAAAGCTCACTCTCCTCTTCTCTCTCCCCCCACCACCCTGATCGAATCTGGGCAGATCCAGGGGCTCGAATAGTTTGTTGACTACAGACTGATATGTTGATTGAAGGGTGTGAATTCATGAGTCTCTCTGTTTCCAAAAACCATCTGGCATCCAGACGTACTTGCTTCAGCTGCCAGGACACACTGGCAAAACAGAACTTGGGGCTCTCGAAGCCCCATCCCTCTCAAATTCCACAGGGCCGCAGGCCACTCAGAAATCAAAGGTCAGATGCGTGGCGGGAAAGGGGGTCTGGGGCGGGAAAATGAACAAGGAGGCTCACAGTTAACACCTGTGACATTATACCAAAATGTGTTGATTTGAATAATTCTAATAGGATGCATTAACCCTATACCACTCAACTGTTTCTCTCCTGGAAGGGGCTTCAGAGCGGGGCCGGGTGCCCCCAAGTTCAAATCCGATGGGCTCTCCAAAGTGCAAATTCTATATAACCATTTGTTAAAGCAATATATGTCAAAGCCCCTTCTTGAGCCACTCCTGATTATCCTCAAGAAATTACTCAAAGGGGAAAAAAACACTACAAGACCTAAGATTTGGAATGCAGTCTTACTTATAATAATAAGGATCTGGAAACATAATCGTTCAGCAATATGGAGACACTGCCTGGACTTCTATAAGCCAGTAAACATAATTATAAACAACACCACACATGGGACACCACGAAGCAGAGGAACAGACTACAGAATGCTTTCTACATCCCAATGACAAGGGTGTAAAACTGTGTACCGAAGGCATATGGGCAGAGATTCGAAGAAGACTGAAAAACTGGGCAAGGATGGCAAGGTTTAGAGTGATTTTTTTTAAATGCCTTTTTCTGACATTATATTACTGTTTTTACAGTAAATCGTATTGCAGGAAGGGAATTGTAGGGCGATGGAGGAGAGGACAGCACAGCTGGCCAACAGCAAAACTGCTGACCTAGGCGCCTAAGCAGGGTGCTGGGGAAGGGGGCAGGGTACATCAGTGAACCAAGGGGAACGTGTCATTAAGATGCGGAGGTGGAGTCATTTGGGTTTTCTCTCTCTGGTCCTGGGCTCCTGCGTCTGTCCTTGCCAGCCTGTGGGACGTGCTCAGCAACACTTAGCACAACATGGCCACATCAGCCCATGACGGCACCTGCTGTCCCCGTGCCTGCTGTGGTTTGCAAACACTTCCCTGGAAATCGGGATAGTCAAACTTCAGTTCTGACTGCTCTGGACTCACTGCGTGGATCTGGAAAAGTGACTAACTCTCTAAGTCTCAGTATACGCATCTGTAGAATGGGAGTTAACTACCACTATCGCCATGCAGCCTGCGGTCCGGGCCCACTGTACCATCCCCAGGCTAGTACCTTCCCCTCTCCGGGTTTCATTCCCCCACCTGTACACTCAGGAGAGGAGAAGAGAGGTTGTCTGTGGACCCCTTTGCTCTGATTTCTTTTATTCTGAATACCAGAGCAGAATGGGCAACTGTCCATGACAACTGTAATTTGCTGGGTGCTTACTGTATGTCAGGCCCCATCTTCACTTGGATTCAGCACATTTATGGCCATTATTTGCACTTAACACAAAGCACTGGAAGGCACGAGGGTGCAGGCCTCCCACCTCCTCTCTTTCCCATGTTCACTTATTCC